CAACTCCATTACGCTTAAAAACTGCTTCACATACCACCATCGATTTCAAATCAAATCAAATTGTATTTGCCACATGCACCGAATACAACAGGTGTAGACATTACCGTGAAATGCTTACTTACAGCCCTTAACCAACAATGCATTTATTTCTTAATAAAAAGTAAAATAAAACAACAACAACAAAAAAGTGTTGAGAAAAAAAGAGCAGAAGTAAAATAAAATAACAGTAGGGAGGCTATATACAGGGGGGTACCGGTGCAGAGTCAATGTGCGGGGGCACCGGCTAGTTGAGGTATTATGTACATGTGGGTAGAGTTAAAGTGACTATGCATAAATAATTAACAGAGTAGCAGCAGTGCAAAAAGATGGGGTGGGAGGTGCAAATAGTCCGGGTAGCCATGATTAGCTGTTCAGGAGTCTTATGGCTTGGGGGTAGAAGCTGTTGAGAAGCCTTTTGGACCTAGACTTGGCGCTCTGGTACCGCTTGCCGTGCGGTAGCAGAGAGAACAGTCTATGACTAGGGTGGCTGGAGTCTTGACAATTTTGAGGGCCTTCCTCTGACACCGCCTGGTATAGAGGTCCTGCATGTTAGCTATGCTACCAGTTTATACGAACAGGAGTTAGCATTTAGCAGGAATATTTCTAAATATTATGCAGCGAAAAAACCCTAATATACCCAAATCGGATTTTAGTAACCACATTGTGGGCCTATTAGAACACAAAAATTATGAAAGATTTGATGAATATCCACTGTAAAATCAGATTTTTGGTCAGTCCATCCTGGCCTTGATTACAACGTCCACAGGTTTTTGGTCTGGTTCGGACTGGCCTTAATTTGGACCAAACATAGACATCCATGATTGGTTCAGATATGTTTCACAACTTTGGACAGCAGAGTAAAGTACAGAACAGTAGAGTATAGGTCAGTACAGTAGATTAAGGTTACGAGATTAAGATCACTTTATTTGTCAATTGTACACAAGGTCCAACCGAAATGTCACTTCCGCTTTGTCACAACCCCTCCGAAAGACACACATACATATACAGATTGGAGAGGTTGGAGTAGGGGGCTGCCCGTGGAGCAGTTGTTGTGGGGGGTTACGTGCCTTGCTCAAGGGCACAACGGCAGGCAATGGGGCGGCAGGTAGCTTAGTGGTTAAGAGCGTTGTGCCAGTAACCGAAAGGTCGCTGGTTCTAATCCCCGAGCCAACTAGGTGAAAAATCTGTCGATGTGCCCTTGAGCAAGGCACTTAACCCTACTTACTCCTGTAAGTCGCTCTGGATAAGAGCGTCTGCTAAATGACTAAAATGTAAATGTAATCTAGGATTTGATACCAGCAACCTTCCCGATGCCAGCTAACTTCCCGCCAGATTTTTCCCGTCAGACCCGGGATTCGGTTGCTGGCTCGCCTCTTTAACCTCTAGGCTACCTGCCGCCCAGAGTAGAGTAGAGTAGAGTACAGTAGAGCACACTTGAGTAGAATACAGTATAATGTACTGTACTGAAATATACTGTACTTCACTCTACTGAACTCTACTGTGCTGCGCTGTACTTTACTGTACTCTACTGTGCTGTACTGTGATGTCCAAACTTGTGAAACATAGACGTCTATGATTGGTTCAGATTTGGTCCGGTCCAGACCAACCAAATGTGGTCTTGCTTGGGGATGGAGCTCATTAGAATAATAGCCAATGTGTAGAATAATACCCAAATATGCATAGGTCTAGTGCCACAGGTCAGAGAGGTTAGGTCCTGTCAGTCCTACACCTTTGCCTTGGGTGTGTGTGAAATTGTGAAATGTTCAGTTTTTTAACCAAACAAGTCAGACCACTTACTGAGACCTGAATAATCAAAAAATGTCATAATGATCTATGTGTCGAAAAATGTCATTTTTGATTAGTCAAGACTTTTAGACTTTTGACGAATCAAAAATGTTATTTTGACAAATAACTTGTGATGAAATGTTGAATGATTCAGTTCTCAGTAATTGGGGTGCAGGGAACTTGCTGGACTGAATCCAGGTCCTGCCCTTTGGTGGGTACCGGTCAGTCCCACACCTTAGTCTGTGTGGTGTGCATGTGTGTCAATAGTTGTGTGGTTGTGGTCAGTAGTTGTAGTCAGTAGGTTAGGTCAGTAGTTGTGGTCCGTAGTGGTCCATAGTTTTGGTAAGCAGTTGTGTGGTTGTGGTCAATAGATGTGGTCAGTAGTTGTGTGGTTGTGGTCATTAGTTGTGGTCAGTAGTTGTGGTCAGTAGTGTTCAGTAGTTGTGGGTAAGTAGTTATGGTCAGTAGCTGTGTGGTTGTGGTCAGTAGTTGTGGTCTCTAGTTGTGTGGTTGTGGTCAGGGGTTGTGTTCAGTGTTTGTGTTGAGTAGTTGTGGTCTGTAGTTAAGGTCTCTAGTTGGGTTGCTGTGTTCAGTAGTTGTGAGGTCAGTAGTTGTGTGGTTGTGGTCACTAATTGTAGTCAGTAGTTGTGTGGCTGTGGTCATTAGCTTTGTGGTCAGTAGTTGTGGTTAGTAGTTGTGTTGTGGTCAGTAGTTTTGGTAAGTAGGTGTGTGGTTCAGTAGTTGTGGTCAGTAGTTGTGTGGTTGTGATCAGTAGTTGTGTTCAGTAGTTGTGGTCAGTAGTGGTCAGTAGATATGTGGTTGTGGTCAGTAGTTGTGGTCAGTAGTTGTGTGGTCAGTAGCTGTGTGGTTGTGGTCAGTAGTTGTGTGGTTGTGGTTCAGTAGTTGTGTGGTTAGTAGTTGTGTGGTCAGTAGTTGTGGTGTTATGTCATTAGTCTTGGTCAGTAGTTGTGGTCAGTAGTGGTCAGTAGTTTTGTTAAGTATGTGTATGGTCAGTGTTGTTGTGGTCAGTAGTTGTGTTTCAGTAGTTATGGTCAGTAGTTGTGTGGTTGAGGTCAGGAGTTGTGTTCAGTAGTTGTCAGTAGTTATGGTCCCTAGTTGTGTTGTTGTGGTCAGTTGATGGTTGGTTGTGGTCAGTAGTTGTGTGGTTGTGGTCAGTTATTGTAGTCAGTAGTTGTGGTCAGTAGTTGTGTGGTTGTGGTCATTAGTTGTGTGGTTCAGTAGGTGTGTGGTCAGTAGTTGTGTAGTTGTGTTCAGTAGTTGTGTGGTCAGTAGTTATGGTCTCTAGTTGTGTGGTTGTGGTCAGGGGTTGTGTTCAGTATTTGTTGTCAGTAGTTATGGTCTCTAGTTGTGTTGTGTTCAGTAGTTGTGGTCAGTAGTTGTGTGGTCAGTAGTTGGTTGGTTGTGGTTAGTAGTTGTGTGGTTGTTGTCAGTAGTTTTTGGTATGTAGGTGTGTGGTTCAGTAGTTGTGGTCAGTCGTTTTTTGGTTGTGTTCAGTAGTTGTGTTCAGTAGTTGTGTGGTCAGTAGTTATGGTCAGTAGTTATGGTCTCTAGTTGTGTGGTTGTGTTTAGTATTTGTTGTCAGTAGTTATGGTCTCTAGTTGTGTTGTGGTCAGTAGTTGTGCTGTCAGTAGTTGGTTGGTTGTGGTCAGTAGTTGTATGGTTGTGGTCGGTAATTGTGGTCAGTAGTTGTGGTTAGTAGTTTAATTGAGTTTTGATTGAGGGGTGCAACTCAATATTAGGAAGGTGTTCTTAATGTTTTGTACACTCTGTGTATTTGTCACTGACTATTACCAATGTGCTATAGTGAGAATTATTATTGAGGGATCTCCACTAAAACTAAACAGGTGCACTGTTGCTGAATGCCAGCGCTCCCATTCAAACACCAAATCCAAAACTGAAGTTTCCCAGACTTCCAATAGTCGAGTGGACGAGACAGGATTTGGAAGGATGTCCAAACGACACTATAACAGATTACATGTAACAGGCATTACGATGTAATCAGATTACAAAAACGAAGTAACTGTAATCAACCCAGATTACTTAAAAAAATGTGTAGGCCTAATCAGATTACAGTTACATTCTTAAAAATAGCCTATTACATTTTGGATTACTTAATCTAAAATCAAGATGTGGGCTGCAAGTGTTTGCATCAAACACTGAAATGGCAGATTTTGTATATATATATATATATATATATATATATATTTTTTTTTACATCTAATAGACACACAGCTTGAAGTCACCTTTCCGTAGGAATGGAAGCTTTCCCTTCTGTTATTATTTATCTGAAATCTCCAAAATCTCCCACATTTCATCAGGATCTTTGTATCAAAAGGACATTTTTGATTAGTCAAAACAGTTCACTTCCCAAGCACTGAGATGAAACGCATAAGAAATCAGCTGCTTAGGCTACTCAGCTAAATCTCTAATTTCATAAAAATAAATAAAAATACACTGTGGGATGTACCTATTTAATTGGCTGGATGCTGTGGGCTGCAAGTTGCCCATCCCTGCAAAGGACTGGAGTGTGGAACACATAAAATATTAAAGATCCAATGCAGCCATTTTTATCTCAATATCAAATATTTCTGGGTAACTGTTAAGTACCTTACTGTGACTGTTTTCCATTCAAATTGTCTAAAAGAAACAAAAATAGCTTCTTACCAAAGAGCAATTTCTCAAGCAAGAATTTTCCTACGACTGTCTGGCAGTGATCTGAGTGGGGAAGGGAAAAAATAAAACTAGCTGTTATGGGCAGAGAGGTTTGGAACTCTCTTTGTTATTGGTCTATTAACTAGTTTACCGCATGGTGATGTCACCAGGAAGGCCAAAACTCCATCCCACCAAAGCAGGCTGACATTTCAGGTGGTCTTTTCAAACAGATCTTACACTAAAAGGAAATTATCATAATTTTCACAATTTTACAGTATTATTCCAACCTCATAGTGTGGAAATATACAAAACATGAAGATCACGTTTTTGACTGCACTGGGCCTTTAATCTCAAGAAATATAAGAACATTAGTTTGGGAACAGGTCTCTCTCTGCCCAACTCGCAGGAAGCCTACTGTAGGCCTAGTCTGAACTGTAGTCAAGTGTAAGCACGAGGTAGACTAGCCACAGCGTCATCGGACCATCCCCCCTGCGTGTCCACAAACAGACCAGTCTGCATTCTAGCGAACCCTCTCACTCAAGCAGCAGCAGAGGCACTGGCAGTACGATCAAGGCCCCACGGTTCCTCCTTCAGTATCCACAGACAAACTCCGTTTTCACACCAGCTGCCTACTCCAGGCATGGCTGACGGCTGTACCCAGTCATGGCACTGCGACATTACACCCTCGACTTCAACCTCTCAGCGCCAGGTAAATTGCACACACGGGCATTCGCTAGATTACGAACGGTTTCAGCAGAATAATACGAAATGCTCTGAGACCAGGTTGCACTACAGGACATGGGGCGGTTATATTTTCCCTTTGCGCGTCTAGCTAACTACTGTACGTTAGCTAGCTAATCGTTGTCAATACGCGTAGTCTGTCCAATATACTTGCATAAAAATAATATAGATAGCTAGCTATGCACGATTAGTGGGGGTTTTTCTCGGAGGACATAACTCGTTAATACTGAGTAAGAATTGATCTAGCTAAATGGCATCCGCTATCTTAATAGCTAGGTAGCATAATTCCAAGTCACTGGTTGCCAGCAGATTGATATGACCTTTCGTGCAGTTGCTAGGTAGCTAGCTAGCTAGATTAGCAAAGCCATGTGTCTGCTGCTGCGCCTGTCTGCGTGACTGGACAGACAGTCAAACTGCGAGTAGCTAGCTAGCTAAACAATGGTGACCATGCTTATTGATGAGGCTAGCCATCAATAAATCATAAGGTCCCAGTGGCCAATAATGGGTTTGAAATCCATAGCCACTCAATGTAAAAAGGCTTGCAAGATGAATTTCCTAGTTAAATTAGGCTCCTGCCATAATTTTGTATTAATTTCAGCCAACTGTCTGGTCTGCCTGTTATGGTGCACACTCAATCAAGAAAAGAACATACAGTCGCTAGCTAGTTATCTAGATTATTAATCGTAATTTTCTCCTACAATTATAGGTGGTTGTTACAAGGTACAGTACCGGTGTGTGCAGTAAGAGAAATCCATTCTCCTTTACCTAGCAAGATATCACCTACTTAAACCTGTACAGGGACTGCAGTCATTTGCCCTCTCAAACATACCTGATAAATTGGGGGTGGAAGAGGCTCCCAGGGCTAATCCCCTACCTAGCAGGCCTACTTACACTAGGAGCTGTGAAACACAGATGTCTGAGCTATAGCCTACTTCTCCCGCCCATTTCATTTATCGATCAGACTGGGCAGAAATTAATCTGGGACTGCCCTCAGGGAGAATGGGCCATTATTGGTGATTCTGTCTGGAAGAGGAATTTAATGAGGGGGTTGTGTTTTGGTCATAACTGTGTTACTACTGTTATTTTACTGCTGCTCTTTAATTATTTGTTATTTTTATTTTTCTCTTTTTCTTATCAATTTTTTACTTAACACTTATTTTTCTTAAAATTGCATTGTTGGTTAAGGGATTGTAAGTAAGCATTTCACTGTAAGGTCTACACCTGTTGTATTCGGCGCATGTGACAAATACAATTTAAAATTAAAATAAAAAAATTGATTTGATTTGTTCTCACCATATATGCCCCTCCCCTTTTCTGTTTAGCTGACTGTCCTTCAACTGTGCATGGGCTGCAGTCTATATTTCAAGAGCAGGAAATGACAGAAACTGTCCATGACACGGAGGGACATGGATACCTTGCTACCTTCATTGGCAAGAATGGCAGGTAGGCACCAGTTCCATCAACACTGTCATCATTATTTATGTCACAATCAATATATTTTGTAGAATAAATAGAATTACATCTAGTATATATTTTTTTGCTTTTCAAAAAGCCAAAGTGCTACAATAAAAATAATAAGAACACATAATAAAGCACAGGAGACAGTCAATAATGGGGATGTATCCAAACTATTGATAGATAACAAGCTACCATACTATGCTTTGCACAGGGTTTTTTGAGTTGAAGATTATATGGTCATGGTTGCAATCTTCAAAGATAAAATGGGAATTTGAGGCACTCCGTAGGGCAGGGTGCCACTAGTTCAAGGTGATGTATGGGCAATTCCATGGTAACAGAGTGAAAATGTGAGTCTCTATGTCACTTTAAAATGTATGCCAAACAAAAACATTGATTGCAAATTTTAACACACCATATACCTACAGTGGGGAGAACAAGTATTTGATACACTGCCGATTTTGCAGGTTTTCCTACTTAAAAAGCATGTAGAGGTCTGTAATTTTTATCGTAGGTACACTATAAATGTGAGATGGCATCTAAAACAAAAATCCAGAAAATCACATTGTATGATTTTTAAGTAATTAATTAGCATTTTATTGCATGACATAAGTATTTCATACATCATAAAAGCAGAACTTAATATTTGGTACAGAAACCTTTGTTTGCAATTACAGAGATCATACGTTTCCTGTAGGTCTTGACCAGGTTTGCACACACTGCAGCAGGGATTTTGGCCCACTCCTCCATACAGATCCTTCAGGTTTCGGGGCTGTCGCTGGGCAAAACGGATTTTCAGCTCCCTCCAAAGATTTTCTATTGGATTCAGGTCTGGAGACTGGCTAGGCCACTCCAGGACCTTGAGATGCTTCTTACGGAGCCACTCCATAGTTGCCCTGGCTGTGTGTTTCGGGTCGTTGTCATGCTGGAAGAGCCAGCCACGACCCATCTTCAATGCTCTTACTGAGGGAAGGAGGTTGTTGGCCAAGATCTTGCGATACATGGCCCCATCCATCCTCCCCTCAATACGGTGCAGTCGTCCTGTCCCCTTTGCAGAAAAGCATCCCCAAAGAATGATGTTTCCACCTCCATGCTTCACGGTTGGGATGGTGTTCTTGGGGTTGTACTCATCCTCCTTCTTCCTCCAAACACGGCGAGTGGAGTTTAGACCAAAAAGCTATATTTTTGTCTCATCAGACCACATGACCTTCTCCCATTCCTCCTCTGGATCATCCAGATGGTCATTGGCAAACTTCAGACGGGCCTGGACATGCGCTGGCTTGAGCAGGGGGACCTTGCGTGCGCTGCAGGATTTTAATCCATGACGGCGTAGTGTGTTACTAATGGTTTTCTTTGAGACTGTGGTCCCAGCTCTCTTCAGGTCATTGACCAGGTCCTGCCGTGTAGTTCTGGGCTGATCCCTCACCTTCCTCATGATCATTGATGCCCCACGAGGTGAGATCTTACATGGAGCCCCAGACCGAGGGTGATTTACCGTCATCTTGAACTTCTTCCATTTTCTAATAATTGCGCCAACAGTTGTTGCCTTCTCACCAAGCTGCTTGCCTATTGTCCTGTAGCCCATCCCAGCCTTGTGCAGGTCTACACTTTTATCCCTGATGTTCTTACACAGCTCTCTGGTCTTGGCCATTGTGGAGAGGTTGGAGTCTGTTTGATTGAGTGTGTGGACAGGTGTCTTTTATACAGGTAACGAGTTCAAACAGGTGCAGTTAATACAGGTAATGAGTGGAGAACAGGAGGGCTTCTTAAAGAAAAAATAACAGGTCTGTGAGAGCTGGAATTCTTACTGGTTGGTAGGTGATCAAATACTTATGTCATGCAATAAAATGCAAATTAAGTACTTAAAAATCATACAATGTGATTTTCTGGATTTTTGTTTTAGATTCCATCTCTCACAGTTGAAGTGTACCTATGATAAAAATTACAGACCTCTACATGCTTTGTAAGTAGGAAAACCTGCAAAATTGGCAATGTATCAAATACTTGTTCTCCCCACTGTGTGTATATACAGAAATCTACTTTTAACAATTGCCACAGAAAATGTTACTAAAACACATTTCCTTGAGGAACATTGCAGATCCTAAGTTTGGTAACAGAATGACAGTAAAATCTCCCTCAGTTTATGTGACTACGTTTTCCAAAAACTTGGTTAAATATCTACTCTGAATTAAGATTCAAAGATGTCTGCAGAAAGAATGGGATGGCAGCTATGACATCTTGAGTTTGAAAAAAATCTATTTTGGTTATTTTGAACTACAGTAAGTGAAGTGGATCAACACCCAGCAACAGAATGATGGTAACAGGATTACATCATGGGTCCTGGATCTGTACTCTACAGAAATGCCTAATTATGAATGTCATTCTCTTCATGAAAGGTACACAAAGGTAGAACATTTTAATATGCTCCTTTGTATGTTTGGGTATTATTTAACACACTGGCTATTATTCTAATGAGCTCTGCCCCCAAACAAGACCACATTTGGTTGGTTCATACCGGACCAAATCTGTACCAATCATAGACATCTATGTTTAATACGTTTGGACAGATCAGTACAGCAGCGCACAGTATTGTACAACAAATCAAATTCACATTGAAACTGCAATATTGACATTTGAAATATCCAAATCGCAAGAGATGGAAACGCCACTCAGCCGTGTGTAATATCCGTTTTTATAGTTTACTCTGTTTGTCATGTCTCCCTCTCCTCTTGTGGCTGCTTATATTCACCATAAGTTTGCATGCTGTTCTGTTAGGTCAAATGCAGTCAACAGATTGATCCAAACTAGAACGATGTTGCTTTCCACTGCTTCCTAATATAAATAATTATTATATTTCTATAACCACATTTCCATCCAACCTTTTTACGCAAGTAAAGTACATGTTGGATAAAAAATGTCACGACAGGCCTGATGGAAACAACAGCAAATTTGTCGGTAAACTTTCCAAATGTAGACTAAACCAAATACACTAGACAAGGTAGGTTATTTTTGTGTCTGAAATTAATTATGTGAGAAATGGAGGTGGAAGCACCTTTATGCGCAAATATTGATTATAATAACCATCATATTGAAGTAAACTTGGATTCACGCAAAAATATGTTGTGTGGTCCAACCACTACGACTCGGGAAAGCATGCAGTTTATTAGACTACAGATTAAATAAGTTATGATGAACTTCACAGGGTGGTGAAAGTGCACGGTGATGAGCTTTACGCTCTTTTCCAATAAATATTGAGGGTCTTATTTTGGTGACATGATGATCGATGCTTGGCTGCCGTGTGACAAATATAAAGAATCGTGCTATTTTGTCCATAATAGTCTCATGTGGGTAGCCAACCCGCACTGTATCTGTGAGCTGTTGACTAGAGTGCACGTGCCAAGACCAGAGTGGGCACCGTCACCCCCTTTTGCCCTCAGAACAGCCTCAATTTGTCAGGGCATGGACTCTACAAGGTTTTGAAAGCGTTCCACAGGGATGCTGGGCCATGTTGTCTCCAATGCTTTTCACAATTGTGTGAAGTTGGCTGGATGTCCTTTGGGTGGTGGACCATTCTTGATAACCCAGCAGCGTTGCAGTTCTTGACCCAAACCGCTGCGCCTGGCACCTATTAACATACCTGTTCAAATGCACTTCATTCTGTTGTCTTGCCCATTCACCCTCTGAATGGAAAACATGCACAATCCATGTCTCAAGGCTTAAAAATATTTGTTTAACCTGTCTCCTCCCCTTTACCTACACTGATTGATGTGGATTTAACAAGTGACACCAATAAGGGATAAGAGCTTTTACCTAGATTCACCTGGTCATTCTGTGTCATGGAAAGAGCAGGTGTTCTTCATGTATATCGCAATTCGATTTTTTGCCCATATCATGCAGCCATAAGTTCTGTACAGTAGAGCACAGTAAAGAAAAGTAGAATATAGTTAACTACAGTCCAGTTGAGTATATTACATTATACTGTACTCTACACGTGCTCTACTGTACTGAACTCTACTCCAGTGGTTTTCAACCGGTGTGCTGTGGCATACTCATGTGCCCTGAGGAACTCTCAGGTGTGCTGCAAAACCTTTCCTAATCTTGATAAAAAAATTTGAACACACTTATAAACGTGACCTGTGGAATGCACATGCATTTTTGACTTGGGAGCACCAATGCCACTCAAATAATACATTGAATAGCACATGGTTACATCTATCTTTGTTTCAAGTCCGGTGTGCTGTTGTATAATTTGGGGGCACGCATCACGAACAAAGTCATCTTCTGCTTGGACAGCGCCATCTTTGCCACTGACTTAGTCTGGTTTAATTCCAGTTTGTCTAAAAATTAATAATTGATATGTTGGATTCACGTCTCCATCTCATCCAAAAATCTAAGTTAAAGAAAAGGACTAAATCAAAACTTTAAATGCACTTTAAAGGTGCAATATGCAGAAATAGTTCGCCTACTTTCAGTTTGTGTGACAAAACAAGCATTCGTTGGGTAGGGAATCATTGTACCATCTAAACCGCTGTGAAATATATTTTCCATAGCCAAAAATATTGTATTTTCAGCTGCTTCAAGCTGGTGTACAAAACTGAAAGTAAAAGACGCAAAAACTAAACTTAAGAATGGGAAGCATAGAAATAGAACAGATCTGCTGCTTCTTAGACTTGCTTTCAATGAGAATGACAGATCTATAACTCTAATTTGGTCAGGTCACCCCAAAAGTTACATATTGAGTCCTATTCTTTAACTTAATAAAAATTAAAGAATAGGATTAAGCCAGTAGCTCAGATGAAACTATCGAAGTATAACATATCCTTTAAATGTTGCTATTTGGTTGTGTTTGTCAACCAAACAGAATTAAACAATACTTTTGTTATACAGTAAGGCGGAGATAAGTTGCAGAGACTGAGACACACATGCCTAGCCCGCAGCAGTGGATGCATCAATTCATACTACAAGCGTAGTGGGCCTAATGACAATTGTCGAATGTCATTACACTATTAGGTTTTTTTCTAACTGATTTCTCTTTCCATTCATTAAATTGCGGGTGCACTGTTGGGATGCTGGAATTATTTTGTGAGTGGACAAACGTGCACGGGTAGCCAACAGGAGCGGCGCTTGAAGTGATTGTTTGACAGTCAGACGAAAACGCCATGACTGGTTGTGTTTATGCCACATTTTAAAGGTAGTACATGATAGAAGTTAAATGACAAACCTTTACTAGGCCCACAGAGATCATACTAAATAGGGGTTGAATAGGGGTTCCTTATGTACATCTATGACCCATTGTTCATGCGGTGGGCGTACATATATAGGAGGACGTGAAATGTACTTTCACCCCTGAATGTAACAGTATTTATTCAACCCTTAACATGAGTAACGCATCCATGGCCACATTTTGAGGTTAGTTTACTGTAACTATACATGTCTTCTTATGCAATCATAGAAAGCGTGCATGTTCAAGATAGCATGCGAAGGTCGCAGGTCTGTGGAGAGCGTCACAATTGCTGTAATATTGGGAATTCAACAAACTTCTGGCTGTCTTTTTGAATGGGTGAGTAAAGGTTGAAATCTCGTTTATCAATTTCTCAACCAAATATTACCCAAATTTCCGTATTGAAATGACGTGGTGTGCCCGATTTGGTAACAGTGACGTGTTTTAATTACTTAATTATTCATAAATAAAATTATCAGAAAAAACACTAACTAATTGGTAGGTCTACCTTTTACTTGTTACTTTTGTGAACTTCTAATAAAAAGCATGAGATGGCACACACCCAAAGAAATGATTTTGTGTAGAGGTGCTAACAGCGAATAAACTGTAAGCTATAAAAATAGTTGCCCACTCTATATATATATATATATATATATATATATATATATATATACCAATTTGTACGTCGCTCTGGATAAGAGCGTCTGCTAAATGACGTAAATGTAAATGTAAATATATATGAACTCCCAGTAATTTATTGGGTAAAACACCAACGTTTCAGCATCACTGTGCCTTCTTTATTGTCTGAAGAATTACTGGGAGTTTATACAGTGAGGGAAAAAAGTATTTGATCCCCTGCTGATTTTGTACGTTTGCCCACTGACAAAGACATGATCAGTCTATAATTTTAATGGTAGGTTTATTTGAACAGTGAGAGACAGAATAACAACAAAAAAATCTAGAAAAACGCATGTCAAAGATGTTATAAATTGATTTGCATTTTAATGAGGGAAATAAGTATTTGACCCCTCTGCAAAACATGACTTAGTACTTGGTGGCAATCACAGAGGTCAGACGTTTCTTGTAGTTGGCCACCAGGTTGGCACACATCTCAGGAGGGATTTTGTCCCACTCCTCTTTGCAGATCTTCTCCAAGTCATTAAGGTTTCGAGGCTGACGTTTGGCAACTCGAACCTTCAGCTCCCTCCACAGATTTTCTATGGGATTAAGGTCTGGAGACTGGCTAGGCCACTCCAGGACCTTAATGTGCTTCTTCTTGAGCCACTCGTTTGTTGCCTTGGGCGTGTGTTTTGGGTCATTGTCATGCTGGAATACCCATCCACGACCCATTTTCAATGCCCTGGCTGAGGGAAGGAGGTTCTCACCCAAGATTTGACGGTACATGGCCCCGTCCATCGTCCCTTTGATGCGGTGAAGTTGTCCTGTCCCCTTAGCAGAAAAACACCCCCATGTTTCCACCTCCATGTTTGACGGTGGGGATGGTGTTCTTGGGGTCATAGGCAGCATTCCTCCTCCTCCAAACACGGCGAGTTGAGTTGATGCCAAAGAGCTCAATTTTGGTCTCATCTGACCACAACACTTTCACCCAGTTCTCCTCTGAATCATTCAGATGTTCATTGGCAAACTTCAGACGGGCCTGTATATGTGCTTTCTTGAGCAGGGGGACCTTGCGGGCGCTGCAGGATTTCAGTCCTTCACGGCGTAGTGTGTTACCAATTGTTTTCTTGGTGACTATGGTCCAAGCTGCCTTGAGATTATTGACAAGATCCTCCCGTGTAGTTCTGGGCTGATTCCTCACTGTTCTCATGATCATTGCAACTCCACGAAGTGAGATCTTGCATGGAGCCCCAGGCCGAAGGAGATTGACAGTTAGTTTGTGTTTCTTCCATTTGCAAATAATCACACCAACTGTTGTCACCTTCTCACCAAGCTGCTTGGCGATGGTCTTGTAGCCCATACCAGCCTTGTGTAGGTCTACAATCATGTCCCTGACATCCTTGGAGAGCTCTTTGGTCTTGGCCATGGTGGAGAGTTTAGAATCTGATTGATTTATTGCTTCTGTGGACAGGTGTCTTTTATACAGGTAACAAACTGAGATTAGGAGCACTCCCTTTAAGAGTGTGCTCCTAATCTCAGCTCGTTACCTGTATAAAAGACACATGGGAGCCAGAAATCTTTCTGATTGAGAGGAGGTCAAATACTTATTTCCCTCATTTAAAATGCAAATCAATTTATAACATTTTTGACATGCGTTTTTCTGGATTTCTTTGTTGTTATTCTGTCTCTCACTGTTCAAATAAACCTACCATTAAAAATATAGACAGATCATTTATTTGTCAGTGGGCAAACGTACAAAATCAGCACTCACTGTATATAGCGTGCGACTCTCTATTTGTTTTTAACTTCTGTGAACTTCCTCATGAGGGAGAGATTATAAAATATAAAGATGTTGGTAACAGAATGACAATACACTAGGCAATATTTCTTAAACTTACAGAAAGCAAATAATTTCTGCAAAACTAAATATAAATGTTGATATTAGTTGGCAGGGGTCTTTACTTCAACATTATTGTGTTTTGATGTATTTCTAATACCTTTTTAAGACTTTTTCTAGTAGATGTTTTCTACGACCCCTTTTCCATCTGTGTGACCAGAAATCAAAGCCTTTGCTTATTCCTTATTTTTAAGATGGAAAATGGTTGGAAAACGTATCAATGCCGTCATTTCCCAAAAATATACTCTTACCTTTCACTTGACACCAAATGTGATATGCTCCTATAAACTTCACATGTTGGTGCTCATGTGTCCTTTTACATGTAAATGACTGTATCTGAACTGTATTGATAGATGTCATCTTAGATCAGCACAATCGAGGTTTATGCAAAATAGATGTAGGCGTAACAGAAGTTCCAAACACTAGTTAGCTCAACAGTGTAATATTTCCTCAGCAAATACTCTAACGTCAGATATCTGTCAAGGTTAGTTTGGAATAAAAGGAATGCTATACAGGCTGCACAAAAATGTTGTTCTAATTGAGAAATATTTAATGTGTGTGAGGAATTTGTAAAATCCCAGTTATTTTTACCAATACCCAGACTGTCCAATGGAAACACCAGGTGTGTTCCAGTGGTCAGACACCCTTTAGGAAGAACATTGATTGGCCAGTTAAGTGTATCATTGGTACAACAATGGCTTGTGTTCAGTTGAACGCATAGCCCTTTAGTGGCTTTGTGTATCGGATCTAAGGGGTTTGGTGCTTCCTGTTTTGTGTGGTGAGTGGTAAACACAGCTGGTGAGGCATTGTGTGGGCCTAAGCCTGCATGAATATGGCTGCCCGCAGCAACACAACACATCATTTTGGATAAAAAAATGCTCAACCTTCAGCTGCCCCTGGATCTCCACTGTGCTTTCAGAAATGTTAGGTCAATAATAGGTCACAACCTGTATTATGCCACAGCTGTAGCCTATAGGATATCTGCTACTTATGAGCTCTAGGTTTAAGGAGAGAGAAGTGAGTGAGAGGTTATAGCCTAGAATCAATGCTGTTCTCCCCACACTTTAACTCTGTTTGTCTGTCTCTCTGTTTGTTTGTCTGTCTCTTTTCAGGTTGGTTATTCTGCGTGTGCACTCCCATGGTCTGGTTACCGTTGATCTGCAGTGTTGTGAAGGAGATAACATTGCACAAGTAGATAACGTAGGTGATGAAATAAATAATTGTCTTTGCACTGGACCTGCTTATATCCATACACAATAACGCAAATATTACAAATATATACTATTTAACAGACCTTCTGAATACCCTGAGTAGGACACCTTTCCATGAGTTCAATACTGCAACACGTGGCCATAGGCCTTTGGACTATTTGACATTTAGGATATTTTGCTTAATGTAACGTTAGGATATGCAAAATAATAAATACGATTTTTCTGTTTTCTCTCAGCTTTTGAATGCACTGGAAAAGAAGCTGAAAAGTCTCCTACATGGAAACATTAGGAGGGTCAAGAGGTAAGCCTCGAGTGGTGGATGATCATACTGTAGTGGCCTTGTTGTGTGATGACTGGAGAGGTACACAAGCTGTAGTGTGAAATTATTACCCTGTAACCATCTGTCAATGTCTCCATGATGCCATCATGAACATGATTTCTACCATTCCCCCCCTTCCCCAGGCTCCCAGCTCTGACACGAGGTGCAGCTGTTGATCGATACTGGCCCACAGCCGACGGCAGACTGGTGGAGTATGACATAGATCGGGTTGTATACGATGAGGACTCTGCATACCAGAATATAAAGATCTTGCACTCACAGCAGTTTGGCAATATCCTGATCCTCAATGGGGATGTTAGTAAGTAAAATATAACATTCCTACCAGAGTATGAGCACTTCTTACGGTCATCTTTTCATGTTTATTAAAATACCTTTCATTCAAATCATATGGTTTGATTTTAATACTTTAAAACCAAATGGTAGGTCCAGGTAGTCACAAAAATAGATGGGTGTTGGTTTTTAATGATTGGAGCAAATTTGGAGCGGCAGTTTTTTTTCCTGTGAGCTTGGAGCGGTTTTTACCAGAGCGGTTGGAATGGATTTCCGACCACTCAACTCTGTACTCTGATTCCTACAGGCCTTGATTTAAAGGGATAGTTCACCCAAATTACAAAATTACATATTGGTTTCCTTACTCTGTAAGCTGTCTATGGATAAGGTATGACACCAATCCATGCTTTGGTTTAGTTTCCCTGGCACTGTTTCCAAATGCTATCGTTTTAGCATTTACGGCACAAATCCCATTTAAGTCATGGTACCGATATTAGCGTTTTTTGCACATGTTCTAATCATCTGTACGTGATTTTGTTGCGCTTCACAATATATTTTACATACTTTCGGATGATTTGGACATGATGTGCGAGAATTGCATGACTTAAATGGGATTTGTGCCACACATGCTAAAACATTAGCATTTGAAAACCGTGGCAGGAAAATCAAAACCAGGGCATGGATTGCTGTCATACCTTGTCCATAGACTGCATACAAGGTAAGGAAACCTATGTGTAATTTGTGTGAATTTTTGATACAATTGTTATGAATTATTCCATCACTTACTGCTCATGTATATCATTGTAATTATGTTATTTACTGTTATTGAGGTCACTATTGTAGTTTTTCGTGATTGAAATCTGAATCTAATAAGATTAACATTTGACTGGGTTTCAGTAATGGCATATCTGATGATATTGTAATGTAATTATATGGCATATCTGATGATATTGTAATGTGATCATATGGCAGATCTGGCAGAGAGTGACCTACCCTACACCCAGGCCATCATGGGCAGAGGGAAAGAGAACTATACAGGAAAGGAGGTGCTAATCTTAGGAGGCGGTGATGGAGGTATCCTCGCTGAGGCCGTCAAACTCAAGCCAGAGATGATCACCATGGTGGAGATATCCTTTCAGGACGCTGCTTTTCACGTCTTTCTGTGCCCAGTTAACAGATTGCTTCAGGGATTTGCACCAAAAATATTTTAACACTAACCTTGGATCATTTTTCTAGACGTAACCCGGTAGGACTATCTGGTCTGTGATCTATCCATGTGCCTGGTTTGTAATGCCTTGACAAAGTGTCTACATCGACCAAATGGTGATTGATGGGTGTAGGACGCACATGAGGAAGGCTTGTGGAAGTGTTCTGGACAAACTGAAGGGAGACTGTTACCAGGTGAGGATTACAGTGCTGTCCATTGCACTTTTCCTTAGTAGAGATGGAACATTTGTAATTTGCCCACTACTCTTGAAAGAGTTGCACCGCTCTGTATTGTCTTGTATGTTACTACAAGGGGTTACCATGACTGTATTTCCAGGTGTTGGTAGAGGACTGTGTTCCGGTTCTGAAAAAGTATGTTGAGGAAGGGAAGACGTTTGATTACGTCATCAATGACCTCACAGCAGTTCCTATCTCCACAGCGCCAGAGGAGGGTGAGTGACAGATGCTCTCATGGGGTCCTCTTGGACATTCATTTCTAACTGTACAATGATGAATACCGGTATGGCTCATGTAAAGAGGCACTGCATTGTACCTCATTGCAAAGAATTGATCTGATTTAAGATGTGGACAGTGTAATGTTAGCCTGTTTCTTGGATAGGAGGAAAGACGCTTATATGAATCGCTCACATAACTGATTGACAGATGGTTTACTCTGTCTCAGACTCTACATGGGAGTTCCTACAGCTTATCTTGGATCTCTCAATCAAAGTACTGCGTCCTACTGGGAAGTACTTCACACAGGTAAGACGGCCTTTCCCATATTAGCTGAATGTTTCATACAGTCACTCTACCACTGTGTGGAATGCACCTCTTACTCCTCCTGGTGTTATGAAATTGATATTACTATCCCTACACATGATCGACTTATGATGTCTGTCTCTTGGGTCTTTGTTGTTCATGAGAGACAAGTTTATCCTAGTGTGACGTTTTTAATGACACATACAGTTGAAGTTGGACGTTTACATACACTTAGGAGCCATTAAAACTCTTTTTTTTCAACCACTCCACAAATTTCTTGTTAACAAACTATAGTTTTGGCAAGTCGGTTAGGACATCTACTTTGTGCATGACACAAGTAATCTTTCCAACAATTGTTTACAGACAGATTATTTCACTTATAATTCATTGTATCACAATTCCAGTGGGTCAGAAGTTTGCATATACTAAGTTGACTGTGCCTTTAAACAGCTTGGAAAATTCCAGAAAATGATGTCATGGCTTTAGAAGCTTCTGATAGGCTAATTTACATCATTCGAGTCAATTGGAGGTGTACTTGTGGATGTATTTCAAGGCCTACCTTCAAACTCAGTGTCTCTTTGCTTGACATCATGGGAAAATCAAAAGAAATCAGCCAAGACCTCAGAAAGAAATTGTAGACCTCCACAAGTCTGGTTCATCCTTGGGAGCAATTTCCAAACGCCTGAAGGTACCACTTTCATCTGTACAAACAATAGTACGCAAGTATAAACACCATGGGACCATGCAGCCGTCATACCGCTCAGGAAGTAGATGCGTTCTGTCTCCTAGAGATGAATGTACTTTGGTGCGAAAAGTTCAAATCAATCCCAGAACAACCGCAAAGGACCTTGTGAAGATGCTGGAGGAAACGGGTACAAAAGTATCTATATCCACAGTAAAACGAGTCCTATATCGACATAACCTGAAAGGCCGCTCAGCAAGGAAGAAGCCACTGCTCCAAAACCTCCATAACAAAACCAGACTACGGTTTGCAACTGCACATGGGGACAAAGATCGCACTTTCTGGAGAAATGTCCTCTGGTCTGGTGAAACAAAAATAGAACTGTTTGGCCATAATGACCATCGTTATGTTTGGAGGAAAAAGGGTGAGCTTGCAAGCCGAAGAACACCATCCCAACCGTGAAGCACGGGGGTGGCAGCATCATGCTGTGGGGGTGCTTTGCTGCAGGAGGGACTGGTGCACTTCACGAAATAGATGGCATCATGAGGAAGGAAAATTATGTGGATATATTGAAGTAACATCTCAAGACATCAGTCAGGAAGTTAAAGCTTGGTCGCAAATAGGTCTTCCAAATGGACAATGACCCCAAGCATACTTCCAAAGTTGTGGCACAATGGCTTATGGACAACAAAGTCAAGGTATTGGAGTGGCCATCACAAAGCCCTGACCTCAATCCTATAGAACATTTGTGGGTAGAACTGAAAAAGCGTGTGCGAGCAAGGAGGCCTACAAACCTGACAGTTACACCAGCTCTGTCAGGAGGAATGGGCCAAAATTTACCCAACTTATTGTGGGAAGCTTGTGGAAGGCTACCCGACATGTTTGACACAAGTTAAACAATTTAAAGGCAATGCTACCAAATAATAATTGAGTGTATGTAAAATTCTGACCCACTGGGAATGTGTTGAAAGAAATAAAAGCTGAAAGAAATAATTATCTCTACTATTATTCTGACATTTCACATTCTTAAAATAAAGTGGTGATCCTAACTGACCTAAGACAGGGAATTTTTTAATATAATTAAATGTCAGGAATTGTGAAAAAACTGAGTTTAAATGTATTTGGCTATGGTGTATGTAAACATCTGACTTCAACTGTATATTTTGTTACATAATTGCTGTGTGGTCCATGTTTTAACCCAGAGTTGTGTGTCCTCAGGGAAACTGTGCAAATCTGACTGAGGCACTGGCTCTTTATGAGGAGCAGCTGGGAAGGCTCTCGTGTCCTGTGAACTTTTCCAAAGAGGTGGTGTGTGTGCCCTCTTATATGGAACTGTATCCTTATAAAAAGTATTGCAGTTATCAGACACTTCTCCCATTTATAGCCAGACATAGTCAAACATTCATACAGAGACGTGTGGTTGTTGTTTGCATGCAATTCTCCTTAACGAGCTGACTCAGGTGGGTTTTCTACACCGTTTGGAAGAAGTAAAGAGCTCCCTCTCTCCTCTTCAAGCCCTGCCTGCCGGAATGTGAAAACTGCCCCCCCCCCATGATCCGCCGTCGCACTGAGGGGAGATATGACCCCCCCCCACACACACACACAATCTCTACTCACACTGTTTTTAAAAATTATTTCAAGTCCAACTCTCTTAAACCCTTTTTAGATGTTGGTTTTATCATTTTATGTCAACTTGCAAGAGATTGTATTTCTGTTAATTGGATATTTTGAGTTGGGCTGTTTTTGCGTTTGCCCTCCAGGGAGAGCTGTGGGACTGCTGCCACTGGATACACTGAAACCTACTGTAGAGGATGACTCAGCATTTCTATAGCTGGCCTCAGACCTGTCAGGGCTTTAGACTTCTCTGACTATAGCCTGGTCCCAGACCTGTCTGGGCTTTAGACTTCTCTGACTATAGCCTGGTCCCAGACCTGTCTGGGCTTTAGACTTCTCTGACTATAGCCTGGTCCCAGACCTGTCTGGGCTTTAGACTTCTCTGACTATAGCCTGGTCCCAGACCTGTCTGGGCTTTAGACTTCTCTGACTATGGACTTCTCTGACTAGTTGTCATGCCATACATGTTACATGTCTTATACATGTATGAAAGGGCAACAATCCTCACGAGGAGTTGCCTAAAGCTCATAGAGATCTGGGACCAGGCTAGTATTTAAACACTCTTTATGCACCTGCCCCTCTGGGTTACTTTTCAAATTTGGGTTATAAAAGCAGTACCAACATACAATAGCTTTTGGGTTCTGATTGTGTGATAGAATATGTGCTCATCATAGTTTCAACTGAATGTCTGTGTGTTTGATTGTTTTCCTCTTCTGTTGTAACTGTGGCTTGAGTGTGCTTAGATTGCTGGTGCTTTTCAAGATGTTGAAAAGGCAGTGTGACCCTGCCCATTGAGGCTGAAGTGTCCAAACGTGTTTTTAAAAGGGAAAAGGGTCCTCCTTTTGTGGCCGTTTCTTGCTTGTACTGCTTTATTTTTACATACTCAGTTTTATAATTCTGTTTGGTTCTATAATTCTGTTTGATGCATGTGCTGGAAAACGAAAGGTTTTTATTGAATGTAGCTTACCATATACACAGTGCACATTCATGCCTTTGATCAATATTGTGGTGCTTTGTTAAATTTATTTATTTGATATTATTTCACCAAATGCTGTTTTATCCCACTGGAAAAATAAATGTTGTTCAGCAGAGACTACCTGCTATTAAAACGAGTTGGAGAAGAAAATATTTGGTCTCTTTCTTTTGCAGGGAAATGTTTTATTCGCAATAGTGTATCGGATATATTAGCTAGCAATCCAAGATGTTAAAACTGACTGACAATTTGCGTCACAACTAAAAATCAAATAACCAATACAAAACTTTAACAGAAAGAGAACTCACTACTTTGAATACAGTTTTGCTTGCACTTCATTGGTATGGGGTGTACAAGTCCTTCATTTTACTATGACAGGTGGTAGTAATGCTGATTTGAATAAAAACGTCCCCTTTTTAATAAGACTTAGTAGTTTGAATACCCTGCTCCTGCATACTATGTGTGGTTCTAAAATCCACCCATGCTGTCTGCAGCCTGTGATGTAACGTGACATGTCCTTAGTTATTTTACCCAGGATGATGCTGATTGGATCAAGATCTTGATTTGCTTTAAGGTGTAGAGACTCCATTAAATGATCTCTTAACCACAGATATGATGTGCTCCTGAGGATATATTCCTCAATGTGCTGACTGGTGCTGAAATGACACGTCCAACCTGGAGCAATGCTTCTATGTGGTGGGAGACATCTTTCTGGGAAGCTGCTGTATAAATCTAATAAGAATGCAATTTTAACCACACATAATACACCAACACACATTTATACCTACACTACTGGTCAAAAGTTTTAGAAGACCTACTCATTCAAGGGTTTTTCTTTATTTTTACTATGTTCTACATTGTAGAATAATAGTGAAGACATCACAACTATGAAATAATACATATGGAATCATGTAGTAACCAAAAAATTGTTAGACAAATCAAAATATATTTGAGATTCTTCAAATAGCCACCCTTTGCCTTGATGACAGCTTTGCACACTTTTGGCATTCTCTCAACCAGCTTCATGAGGTAGTCACCTGGAATGTGTTTCAATTAACAGGTGTGCCTTCTTAAAAGTTAATTTGTGGAATTTCTTTCCTTCTTAATGTGTTTGAGCCAATCAGTTATGTTGTGACAAGGTAGGGGGGTATACAGAAGATAGCCCTATTTGGTAAAAGACCAAGTCCATATTATGTCAAGAACAGCTCAAATAAGCAAAGAGAAACGACAGTCCATCATTACTTTAAAATATGAAGGTCAGTCAATACGGAACATTTCAAGAACTTTGAAAGTTGCTTCAAGTGCAGTCGCATAAACCATCAAGCGCTATGATGAAACTGGCTCTCATGAGGACCGCCACAGGAATGGAAGACCCAGAGTTACCTCTGCTGCAGAGGATAAGTTCATTAAAGTTACCATCCTCAGAAATTGCAGCCCAAATAAATGCTTCACAGAGTTCAAGTAACAGACACATCTCAACATCAACTGTTTTTTTGTTGTTGTTTTTTTTCACCTTTATTTAACCAGGTAAGCCAGTTGAGAACAAGTTCTAATTTACAACTGCGACCTGGCCAAGATAAAGCAAAGCAGTGTGATAAAACAACAACACAGAGTTACATATGGGGTAAAAAAAAAAATACAACAGAAAATATATATACAGTGTGTGCAAATGTAGCAAGTTATGGAGGTAAGGCAATAAATAGGCTATAGTACAACATAATTACAATTAGTATTAACACTGGAATGATAGATGTGCAAGAGATTATGTGCAAATAGAGATACTGGGGTGCAAAAGAGCAAAATAAATAACAATATAGGGATGAGGTAGTTGGGTGGGCTAATTTCAGATGGGCTGTGTACAGGTGCAGTGATCGGTAAGGTGCTCTGACAACTGATGCTTAAAGTTAGTGAGGGAGATAAGAGTCTCCAGCTTCAGAGATTTTTGCAATTCGTTCCAGTCACTGGCAGCAGAGAACTGGAAGGAATGGCGGCCAAAGGAGGTGTTGGCTTTGGGGATGACCAGTGAGATATACCTGCTGGAGCGCAGACTACGGGTGGGTGCTGCTATGGTGACCAATGAGCTAAGATAAGGCGGGGATTTGCCTAGCAGTGATTTATAGATGGCCTGGAGCCAGTGGGTTTGACAACGAACATGTAGTGAGGACCAGCCAACAAGAGCGTACAGGTCACAGTGGTGGGTAGTGTATGGGGCTTTGGAGACAAAACGGATGGCACTGTGATAGACTACATCCAATTTGCTGAGTAGAGTGTTGGAGGCTATTTTGTAAATGACATTGCCGAAGTCAAGGATCGGTAGGATAGTCAGTTTTACGAGGGCATGTTTGGCAGCATGAGTGAAGGAGGCTTTGTTGCGAAATAGGATTTAACTTTGGATTGGAGATTCTTATTGTGAGTCTGGAAGGAGAGTTTACAGTCTAACCAGACACCTAGGTATTTGTAGTTGTGCACATACTCTAGGTCAGACCCGTCGAGAGTAGTGATTCTAGTCGGGTGGGCGGGTGCCAGCAGCGTTCGATTGAAGAGCATGCATTTAGTTTTACTAGTGTTTAAGAGCAGTTGGAGGCTACTGAAGGAGTGTTGTATGGCATTGAAGCTCGTTTGGAGGTTTGTTAACACAGTGTCCAATGAAGGGCCAGATGTATACAAAATGGTGTCGTCTGCGTAGAGGTGGATCTGAGAGTCACCAGCAGCAAGAGCGACATCATCGATATACACGGAGAAAAGAGTCGGCCCAAGAATTGAACCCTGTGGCACCCCCATAGAGACTGCCATAGGTCCAGACAACAGGCCCTCCGATTTGACACATTGAACTCTATCTGAGAAGTAGTTGGTGAACCAGGCGAGGCAGTCATTTGAGAAACCAAGGCTATTTAGTCTGCCAATAAGAATGCGGTGGTTGACAGAGTCGAAAGCCTTGGCCAGGTCGATGAAGACGGCTGCACAGTACTGTCTTATCGATCGCGGTTATAATATCGTTTAGGACCTTGAGCGTGGCTGAAGTGCACCCATGACCAGCTCGGAAACCGGATTGCATAGCGGAGAAGGTACGGTGGTATTCGAAATGGTCGGTGATCTGTTTGTTAACTTGGCTTTCAAATACTTTCGAAAGGCAGGGCAGGATGGATATAGGTCTGTAACAGTTTGGATCTAGAGTGTCACCCCTTTTGAAGAGGGGGATGACCGCGGCAGCTTTCCAATCTCTGGGGATCTCAGACGTTACGAAAGAGAGGTTGAACAGGCTAGTAATAGGGGTTGCGACAATTTCGGCAGCTGGTTTTAGAAAGAAAGGGTCCAGATTGTCTAGCCCAGATGATTTGTAGGGGTCCAGATTTTTCAGCTCTTTCAGAACATCAGCTGTCTGAATGGGCAAGTTGCAGCGGAGGGTGCAGAGCTGGTGGCCGGGGTAGTGGTAGCCAGGTGGAAAGCATGGCCAGCCGTAGAAAAATGCTTGTTGAAATTCTCGATTATTGTAGATTTATCGGTGGTGATAGTGTTTCCTAGCCTCAGTGCAGTGGGCAGCTGGGAGGAAGTGCTCTTATACTCCATGGACTTTACAGTGTCCCAAAACCTTTTGGAGTTAGTGCTACAGGATGCAAATTTTTGTTTGAAAAAGTTAGCCTTTGCTTTCCTGACTGCTTGTTCCAAACTTCCCTGAAAAGTTGCATATCGCGGGGGCTATTTGATGCTAATGCAGTACGCAACTGTTCAGAGGAGACTGCGTGAATCAGGCCTTCATGGTCGAAAATAGTAAAAATAAAGAAAAACCCTTGAATGAGTAGGTGTTATAAAACTTTTGACCGGTAGTGTATGTGTGAGTTGTCACAACTCCTTCCTCTTTGTCTCAACTGTATTTGCCCCACTGTTTGTTTTTTTGCCATAGAGTTAGTATATTGGTAAAGTAAACACTGGTAATACAGTATTTCTTTATTTGCTTGAGCAGGCTCTATCTTTCCACTGGATCAATCTTTTGTGGTTCTATGAATGAAGGATTTGACAT